GCTTTCCATCCCTCTCTAAGTGTTTTACAGAGTCAGCCTTGTCCCCAACAATCTGGATCCTCAATTCCACCATCTTGGAAGGACGGAAGGCTGAGTCAACCTTTAAAACAAGGAAGGAAGGAAGGGAGGGAGGGAGGGAGGGAGGGAGGGAGGGAGGGAGGGAGGGAGGAAGGAAGGAAGGAAGGAAGGAAGGAAGGAAGGAAGGAAGGAAGGAAGGGCCATGATGGTGCAGTGGCTAGAATACAGTATTGCAGGCTGACTCTGTCCACTGCCAGCAGTTTGATTCTCAAGGTTAACTCAGTTTTCTATCCTTCCGAAGTGGAGCTTGCTTCCTTCCCTCCCCCCTTTTCTCCCTCCCTCCCTCCCTCCCTCTCTTCCTTGCTTGCTTCTAAAGGTTGATTTAGCCTTCTATCCTTCTGAGGTTGGTAAAATTAGGACCCAAAATTGTTGTGGGGGGCAAGAGACTGACTTTGTAAACTGCTTAGAGAGGGCTGTAAAAGCACTGAGAAAGCGGTATATAAGTCTAAGCGCTATTGCTAAGTAAGGTAGGTAGGTAGGAAGGAGGGAGGGAAGGAAGGAAGGAAGGAAGGAACGAAGGAAGGAAAGTGGAACAGTAGTTAGAATGCAGTATTGCAGGCTGACTCTGCCCACTGCCGGCAGTTCGATTCTCACGAGCTCAAAGTTGACTCAGACTTCCATTATGAGAATGGGAATTCTGGGAGTTGAAGTCCACAAGACTTAAAGTTGCCAAGGTTGGAGACCTAGAGATAAGAGGTAGAAATGAGGCGAAGAAAGATTATTGTTTATGTAAGAATTAGATATAAAGAGGGTTTATAATTATAAACATGTCAGATACAATTAACGGAATTAGAAATGAGAGAAATCTGGTTAAAATTATTCTGTTACATCATTACTATTAGTGTTATTCGTATAAAAATTAATATCTCTGATTGTTTGCTTTGTACTTTTTCGTAAATGATATGCCCTGACAATACACAGCCTTCAAAATGTTTAGGAATTAAAATTAAACATATACTGGGGGCGACGGGGAAAAAACTTCCTCAACCTCTGCTCTCCCCTCCCTATGCAGTTGTCATCGCCGCCTGTCCGGGTGCGAGTGCGAGTTCAGGACAGCGTCTTCCTGATTCCAGTGCCACAAAGGTAAGGGGGGAGCAGGGAACATCTGGCCAGCCGACTCAGGCTGGGTCAGTCGGCAGTCCAGCCAGTCTTCCCACTGGCCTCCCACCAGCCGGAATGGGACAACTTGCTATGGCCAACTTGCCATGGGACAATTCAATTTAATTGTTTAAAGTCATATAGAATAGAAGAAAAGACAAAAGAGTCGAATCAAGTCGAGTCAAATACAGGAATAAGGATAAGAATAAGAATAAAAATAAGAATAGAATAGAATAGAAATAGAAATAGGGATAGGGATAGGGATAGGGATAAGAATATAGGGATAGGAATAAGAATTAGAATGGAATGGAATAGAATATAGGAATAAGAACAGGAGAGAATAGAAATAGAATAGAATAGAAATAGAATAGAAACAACAGAAACAGAACAGAACAGAATAGAATAGAAATAGACTGTAGGGATGGGAATAAGAATTAGAATTGGAATGGAATAGAATATAGGAATAAGAACAGGAGAGAATAGAATAG